TCTAAAGATTCTAAAGATTCTAAAGATTCTAAAGATTCTAAAGATTCTAAAGATTCTAAAGATTCTAAAGATTCTAAAGATTCTAAAGATTCTAAAGATTCTAAAGATTCTAAAGATTCTAAAGATCTAAAGATTCTAAAGATTCTAAAGATTCTAAAGATTCTAAAGATTCTAAAGATTCTAAAGATTCTAAAGATTCTAAAGATTCTAAAGATTCTAAAGATTCTAAAGATTCTAAAGATTCTAAAGATTCTAAAGATTCTAAAGATTCTAAAGATTCTAAAGATTCTAAAGATTCTAAAGATTCTAAAGATTCTAAAGATTCTAAAGATTCTAAAGATTCTAAAGATTCTAAAGATTCTAAAGATTCTAAAGATTCTAAAGATTCTAAAGATTCTAAAGATTCTAAAGATTCTAAAGATTCTAAAGATTCTAAAGATTCTAAATTCTAAAGATTCTAAAGATTCTAAAGATTCTAAAGATTCTAAAGATTCTAAAGATTCTAAAGATTCTAAAGATTCTAAAGATTCTAAAATTCTAAAGATTCTAAAAGTTCTAAAGGTTCTAAAAATTCAAAAGATTCTAAATGTCCTAAATGTTCTAAAGTTTCTAAAGTTTCTAACGGTTCTAAATGTTCAAAAGGTACTAAAGGTTCTAAAGTTTCAAAAGGTTATAATCTCTATGTTCTAAAGGTTCTAAAGGTACTACAGCTTCTAAAGGTTCTAAAGGTTGTAAATTTTCTAAAAGTTCTAAAGACTCTATAGATTCTAAAGATTCTAAAGATTCTAAAGATTCTAAAGATTCTGAAGATTCTGAAGATTCTGAAGATTCTAAAGATTCTAAAGATTCTAAAGATTCTAAAGATTCTAAAGATTCTAGAGATTCTAGAGATTCTAAAGATTCTAAAGATTCTAAAGGTTCTAAAGGTTCTAAAGGTTCTAAAGGTTCTAAAGGTTCTAAAGGTTCTAAAGGTTCTAAAGGTTCTAAAGGTTCTAAAGGTTCTAAAGGTTCTAAAGGTTCTAAAGGTTCTAAAGGTTCTAAATTCTAAAGGTTCTAAAGGTTCTAAAGGTTCTAAAGGTTCTAAAGGTTCTAAAGGTTCTAAAGGTTCTAAAGATTCTAAATCTAAAGGTTCTAAAGGTTCTAAAGGTTCTAAAGGTTCTAAAGGTTCTAAAGGTTCTAAAGGTTCTAAAAAGGTTCTAAAGATTCTAAAGGTTCTAAAGGTTCTAAAGGTTCTAAAAATTCTAAAGGTTCTAAAGGTTCTAAAGGTTCTAAAGGTTCTAAAGGTTCTAAAGGTTCTAAAGGTTCTAAAGATTCTAAAGATTCTAAAGATTCTAAAGATTCTAAAGGTTCTAAAGGTTCTAAAGATTCTAAAGGTTCTAAAGGTTCTAAAGATTGTAAAGATTCTAAAGATTCTAAAGATTCTAAAGATTCTAAAGATTCTAAAGATTCTAAAGGTTCTAAAGGTTCTAAACATTCTAAAGATTCCAAAGATTCCATAGATTCAAGATATTCCAGATGATTCCCGTGATCCCAAAAATTCCAAACATCCCAAAGATCCCTTAGATTCCAAAAATTCTATAGATTGCAGAAATTCCAGAGAATCCACAGATTCCAGAGATTCCAAGGATTGTAAACAGTTCCAAAAATGCCTAAGATTCCAAAGATTCTAAAGATTCAAAAGGTTTCAGGTTTCAAGATTCTAAAGTTTAAAAAAAAACAGTGATTTCGAGTATTATCCAAATTTCCAAAAAATCTTCGGATTTCAAGAATTTCGGCTATTTCGAGATTTCCAATGGTTTCAAAGATGTGCGAGTTTTGAAGGCTTCCGAGGATTGCTCGGATTTCGTTATTTCTAGGATTTCGGGAATTTTAAGAACAATAATTCCAGCTATTCAATGGAATTTAAAGGTCTAAAGGATTTCGTAAATGTTAAGGTTTTTTAAGGTTTCAAGGCCGTTAAGGATTTCGACGACTTCAAGAAGTTCTTGTATTTCAAGCATAGCAAGGGTTTCAAGGATTGCGCGGAATTTTAAAAAAATTTAAAAATTCCATAAATTTTTGAGATTTCGAGTTTTTCGACGGAGTCGACGATTCCTAGGATTTCAATGATTTTGAAGATATGGAGGATTTCGAGGATCTCTAGGATTTCGAACATCCCAAGGATTCCTAGGACTCCCAGGATTTCAAGAATTTCGCAAATTTCGAAAAGTGCAAGTGTGGTAAATAATTCCAGGTATTCGAGGAATTCTAAGGATTTTAAGGATTTCAAAGATTTCGAGATTGTCAAGGATTTCGACTTCATGGGTTTCAAGTACAGCAAGAGTTTGAAGGACAAAAACTTTAAAGTTTCAATGATTGCGAGGATATCCAAGATTCCTAAAATTTCGAGGATTCCACTGATTTCTAACATATCGAGAATATTGGGAGACCCGAGGATTGTAGGGACTTTAGGGATTATAAGGATTTTAGGGATTTTAAGGATTTTAGGGATTTTAATAATTTTAAGGGTTTGAAAGATTTTAGGGATTTTGTGGATTTAAAGGAGTTTAGGAATTTTAGGGATTCTAATGATTTTAAGGGTTTGAAGGATTTTAAGAATTTAAACGAATTTAAGGGTTTTAAGTATTTTAAGGATTTTAAGGGTTTTAAAGATATTAAGAATTTTAAGGGTCTTAAGGATGATTTTAAGGGTTTTAAGGATTTTAATAATTTTAGGGATTTTAATGATTTTAAGGGTTTGAAGGATTTTAAGGGTTTTAAGTTATTTTAAGGGTTTTCACGATTTTAAGGATTTCAGGGATTTTAAGAAGTTTAAGGATTTGAGGGATTTTAATGATTTTAAGGATTTTAACGATTTTAGGGGTTTTAGGGATTTTAATGATTTTAAGGGTTTGAAGGATTTGAAGGATTTTAGGGATTGTATGGATTTTATGGATTTAAAGGGTTTTAAGGATTTTTGAAACTTTAATGATTTTAGGGATTTTGATGATTTTAAGGATTTAAAGGATTTTAAGGGTTTTAAGGATTTTAAGAATGTTAAGGATTTTAGGGATTTTAAGGATTTTAATGATTTTAAAGGTTGGAAGGATTTTAAGGATTTTAATGATTTTAAGGATTTTAGAGATTTTAAGGATTTTAGAGATTTTAATGATTATAAGGATTTTAACGATTTTAGGGGTTTTAGGGATTTTAATGATTTTAAGGGTTTGAAGGATTTGAAGGATTTTAGGGATTGTATGGATTTTATGGATTTAAAGGGCTTTAAGGATTTTTGAGACTTTAATGATTTTAGGGATTTTGATGATTTTAAGGGTTTTAAGGATTTTAAGAATTTTAAGGATTTTAGAGATTTTAAGGATTTTAAGGATTTTAGAGATTTTAAGGAGTTTAAGGATTTTAGGGATTTTAATGATTTTAAGGATTTTAGAGATTTTAAGGAGTTTAAGGATTTTAATGATTTTTAGGGTTTGAAGGATTTTAAGGATTTTAAGGATTTTAAGGGTTTGAAGGATTTGAAGGATTTTAGGGATTGTATGGATTTTATGGATTTAAAGGGTTTTAAGGATTTTTGAGACTTTAAGGATTTTAGGGATTTTGATGATTTTAAGGGTTTTAAGGATTTTAAGAATTTTAAGGATTTTAGAGATTTTAAGGATTTTAATGATTTTAAGGATTTTAGAGATTTTAACGATTTTAGGGGTTTTAGGGATTTTAATGATTTTAAGGGTTTGAAGGATTTGAAGGATTTTAGGGATTGTATGGATTTTATGGATTTAAAGGGCTTTAAGGATTTTTGAGACTTTAATGATTTTAGGGATTTTGATGATTTTAAGGGTTTTAAGGATTTTAAGAATTTTAAGGATTTTAAGATTTTAAGGATTTTAAGGATTTTAGAGATTTTAAGGAGTTTAAGGATTTTAGGGATTTTAATGATTTTAAGGATTTTAGAGATTTTAAGGAGTTTAAGGATTTTAATGATTTTTAGGGTTTGAAGGATTTTAAGGATTTTAAGGATTTTAAGGGTTTGAAGGATTTGAAGGATTTTAGGGATTGTATGGATTTTATGGATTTAAAGGGTTTTAAGGATTTTTGAGACTTTAAGGATTTTAGGGATTTTGATGATTTTAAGGGTTTTAAGGATTTTAAGAATTTTAAGGATTTTAGAGATTTTAATGATTTTAAGGATTTTAGAGATTTTAAGGATTTTAGAGATTTTAATGATTTTAAGGATTTTAACGATTTTAGGGGTTTTAGGGATTTTAATGATTTTAAGGGTTTGAAGGATTTTAGGGATTGTATGGATTTTATGGATTTAAAGGGTTTTAAGGATTTTTGAGACTTTAATGATTTTAGGGATTTTGATGATTTTAAGGGTTTTAAGGATTTTAAGAATTTTAAGGATTTTAGAGATTTTAAGGATTTTAATGATTTTAAGGATTTTAGAGATTTTAAGGAGTTTAAGGATTTTAGGGATTTTAATGATTTTAAGGATTTTAGAGATTTTAAGGAGTTTAAGGATTTTAATGATTTTTAGGGTTTGAAGGATTTTAAGGATTTTAGGGATTTTAGTGATTTTAAGGGTTTGAAGTATTTTAAGGGTTTTATGGATTTTAAGAATTTTAGTGATTATAGGGATTTTAATGATTTGAACGATTTTAAGGATTTTAAGGATCTACGGATGGATTTTACGGATTTTAATGATTTGGAGGATTTTGAGGCGTTTATGGATTTTAAGGATTTCAGGGATTACAAGGAACTTCGAGACTTTCAAATTTCTAAATTCCGAGAGCTCAAAAACCCTACAACTCGAGAACTTGGGGACCTTTCCACCTGAAATCCTTGAAATCCTTTCAATTATTGAGATCATTGAATTCTTTGAGATCCCTTACATTTTTGAAGTCTATCGTTCTCGGATCCCGATCTTTACGGAAAGAAGTAAGTTACGATTGATAAGGAGATGTTGTGCTTGGCCCTGTGATAAAGTGTACCAATTCCCAGGAATAAGGTCATTTATTTACGGCCCAGAGGCTAATTCTAGGTTATAATCACAGTGGATTTCTAGTAGGGGGGCAGCTTTAATTAGGTACTAAATTTGGCCGAAGTAAGCGTACTGTTCGTCAAAGTCCGTATTCTGGATATTCTTCTTAATCCACGCGTCAAAGGCACTAACCATCCGAGGACTCATTTCCGCCTTGTAGTCTCCAATTCTCCCCGATCTCATGAAGGATCCATTGGCGTTGGGGTTATACGTCCTCCTCTGCATCACCAACTTTTGCGAGTTCACCGCCGGATTCCCTTTCATGCTGTCGAAGCTTAGGTGCGCACATAGCCGTTCCAGTTGCTCCTCGCTCATCGGGTCCTTCCCCAAAAAGGCGGAAGTCCTTAAGAGGACGGACTTAAGATCTTTGATCATCTCCTCGTATTTCAAGATGAGAACATTTGGCAGAGCGCGCCTCGTCCAATAACCGTGGACCACCTGCCAGTACGGTGCGTACAGCACTAAAAATCAATTATATTACCTACGTCACTACCTACAGGGCGGAGAAACCTTTGTCCGCCAGAAAGGCCTTGGCGAAGTCTTCGCGATTGGCAAGCCAGCCCATCATGAGGAGGCCCATGTGGTGGTAAGAGACGAACACGTCCTTCGGGTTTCGCATCACAAAGATAATCTACAGGAGCAAGTAAGTGTCGTTTGAATTGAGGTTCGAAATACCTTCGGTGTCTTTGTCCCATCTCTTATTTGCCTAGGTAACAAGGAAAATGGCAAGTGAGTCTTGATGAGCCTCCTTCCACTTGCTGCTTTGAACTCCTTAAGTACAATGCCGAAGTTGGGATCGTTTGCCTCAAACCTTGGGTTGAAAATTCCGGGTAGCCTAGGAAAATCGCTTAGGAAGGGACAAATTCTCGGTCTCTCTTACTCGGGGAATCGTTCGCGTAAGTCAACCTTAGCTCCTTCGTAATTCAGGTCATTTTCGATAAGCCACACCATTTCCCTCACCCACGTTGTACCTAAATCGGTAGGTATTAGCGGACGAAAGTAAAATTGGGTCGTACCTGATTTTGGAAATGACGCCAGGATGACGTCATCGTTACTGATTTCGAGGGCATCAACATCTGCGGCTCTTTGCTCGAAATATCTTGGCAGACAAACGCGATCCTCTCCAAATAACAGATATTCGTTAATGAGCCCATTTTCAAAATCCTTCTTAATGATTTTGCCAACTTCGTCGTCGGAAATTTCCTCCTTTTGCACATTAAACATTTCCAATATACACGTCCGTTTGTTTTCTATTACCTTTACTCATTTACAATTTGAATGGCATTTATTGGGCCATTCGAGATAAGATACTACTTACTGTTTGACCTTTCAGTCCACGCATATTTGGTGATAACAGTAAATTATCGACAATATCCTCCTTCCTATTTTATCAAACCTTATCACATACTCTCCTAAAACCAAAACAAGGTTCACTGTTCTAGAACGCCTAATCCTCCCAGTAGCAGGGGAGTTACATATCCCAAATGGCGTTTCTGGAAATCCTTGAATTCCTTGAAACCCTTGATAGCCTTAAAATCCTTGAAACCCCTGAAATCCTTAAAATCCCTGAAATCTTTGAAATCCTTGAAATTCTGGAAATCTTTGAAATCCTGGAAATCCTTAAATTCCTCGAAACCCTTGATAGCCTTAAAATCCCTGAAATCTTTGAAATCCCTGAAATTCTTGAAATTCTGGAAATCCTTGAATTCATTGAAACCCATGACAGCCTTAAAACCCTTGAAATCCCTGACATCCTTAAAATCCCTGAAATCTTTGAAATCCTTGAAATTCTGGAAATCCTTGAATTCATTGAAACCATTGATAGCCTTAAAATCCTTGAAATCAATGACATCCTTAAAATCCCTGAAATCTTTGAAATCCTTGAAATTCCGGAAATCCTTGAAATCCTTAAATTCCTTGAAACCCTTGATAGCCTTAAAATCCCTGAAGTCATTGAAATTTTTTAAATCCTTGAAATCTTTGAAATCCTTGAAATTCTGGAAACCCTTGAAATCCCTGAAATCTTTTAAATCCGTGAAATCCTTGAAATCCCTGAAATCTTTGAAATCCCTGAAATTCATGAAATCCTTGAAATTCTAGAAATCCATGAAATCTTTGAAACCCTTAAAATTGTTGAAATGCGGAAAATCCTCGAATCCTAGAAATGCGTGAAATCTCTGAAATCCTTGAAACCTTTAAAATTCCTGAAATTCTGGAAATCCTTGAAATCCCTGAAATCTTTTAAATCCCTGAAATCCTTGAAATTCTGGAAATCCTTGAAATCCCTGAAATCTTTTAAATCCCTGAAATCCTTGAAATTCCTGAAATCCTTAAAATCCCTGAAATCTTTGGATCCTTGAAATTCTGGAAACCTTTGAAATCCTGAAAATCCTTAAATTCCTTGAAACTCTTGATAGCCTTAAAATCCCCGAAACCTTTGAAATCCTTGAAATCGTTGAAATTCTGGAAATCCTTGAATTCCTTGAAACCTTGATAGCCTTACAATCCTTGAAATCCCTGACATCCTTAAAATCCCTGAAATATTTGAAATCCTTGAGATTCATGAAATCCTTGAAATTCTAGAAATCCTTGATATCTTTGAAACCCTTAAAATTGTTGAAATGCTTGAAATGCGGAAAATCCTTGAAATCCTAGAAATGCGTGAAATCTCTGAAATCCTTAAAACCTTTGAAATTCCTGAAATTCTGGAAATCCTTGAATTCGTTGAAACCCTTGATAGCCTTAAAATCCTTGAAATCCCTTAAATCCTTAAAATCCCTGAAACTTTGGAATCCTTGAAATTCTGGAAACCTTTGAAACCGTGAAAATCCTTAAATTCCTTGAAACCCTTGATAACCTGAAACCTTTGCAATCCCTGAAATCCTTGAATTCTGGAAATCCTTGAATTTCGTGAAACACCTGAAATCCTTAAAATCTCTGAAATCTTTGAAATCCTTGAAATTCTGGAAATCCTTAAATTCCTTGAAACCCTTGATAGCCTTAAAATCCCTGAAACCTTTGAAATCCTTGAAATCTTTGAAATTCTGGAAATCCTTAAATTCCTCGAAACCCTTGATAGCTTTAAAATCCCTGAAACCTTTGAAATCCTTGAAATCTTTGAACTTCTGGAAATCCTTGAATTCATTGAAACCCTTGATAGCCTTAAAATCCCTGAAACCTTTGAAATCCTTGAAATCTTTGAAATTCTGGTAATCCTTGAATTCATTGAGACCCTTGATAGCCTTAATATCCTTGAAACCAATGACATCCTTAAAATCCCTGAAATCTTTGAAATCCTTGAAATTCTGGAAATCCTTGAAATCCTTAAATTCCTTGAAACCCTTGATAGCCTTAAAATCCCTGAAATCATTGAAATTTTTTAAAAACGCGAAATCTTTGAAATCCTTGAAATTCTGGAAACCCTTGAAATTCCTGAAATCTTTGAAATCCCTGAAATTCATAAAATCCTTGAAATTCTAGAAATCCTTGAAATCTTTGAAACCTTTAAAATTGTTGAAATGCTTGAAATGCGGAAAATCCTTGAAATCCTAGAAATGCGTGAAATCTCTGAAATCCTTGAAACCTTTAAAATTTCTGAAATTCTGGAAATCCTTGAAATCCCTGAAATCTTTTAAATCCCTGAAATCCTTGAAATCCCTGAAATCCTTAAAATCCCTGAAACCTTCGAATCCTTGAAATTCTGGAAATCTTTGAAATCCTGGTAATCCTTAAATTCCTTGAACCCCTTGATAGCCTTAAAATCCCTGAAACCTTTGAAATCCTTGAAATCGTCGAAATTTTGGAAATCCTTGAATTCCTTGAAACCTTGATAGCCTTACAATCCTTGAAATCCCTGACATCCTTAAAATCCCTGAAATATTTGAAATCCTTGAAATTCTGGAAGTCCTTAAAATCCTAGAAATCCTTAAAACCCTTGAAATCCCTGAAATCCTTGAAATTCTGGAAGTGCTTGAAATCCTTGAAATCTTTAAAACCCTGAAATCCTTGAAATTTTTGAAATACTTAAAATCCTTGAAATTCTAGAAATCCTTGTGTAAGAACCATATTTTAGGGTAGTCCTTAATAACGAAAAAGTAAAATGTCAACGCAACCCCTATTTGATAAATGTGGCAAGCTGACTGGTCAAGTATGCGCGATTCTGCACATATGGGTGCAAGGGTCTTAAGGGATCGTGTGTTAAGGCAGTTAAGTTGCGTACGCGCTCTGGTCACGATCGTATAAGGGATGCTAGGTAGAGCATCGGACGTTAGTGAGTTTGGTGTAATAGCTCTTTATTGTGAGTGTCTCCCACGCGTAGGTGGTGAGTGTCTCCCACGTGTAGGTGGTGAGTGTCTCCCACGTGTAGGTGGTGAGTGTGTTGTGCAGGCCATCGTGCTGGTCGTGCATTGTTGTTGGGCTATGGTAAAACCCCTGGCAGATATCCGGATATATTCCTAGGCTTTTAGAGTGCATTATGTGCATGTGCCTATGACGCGGTCCCGCGGGTAGCTCCCGTTGATTATACCGCTGAGTGATCTACTCGCTCGAGTAGATCATGGTGTCGACCCAATACGAAACATAAAGGCCTCATTGTTAACACAAACAGTTCGGGGGTGAGCTCGACCTGGATGTCGTTCCCAGGTAGGGCAATGAGTGACATAGATCGACGTTACTGATCTATTGGCCGAGGGTCCTAGTCAGAGGGCCAAGGCGGGATGTGTATCCTAAATAATACACGTGCGCGCGGCGTAACCCTTTCCCAAATAGGTATGAGCTCCATCTTAACCCTTCAGGAAACCATCTCCAACGACGCATTCAACCCCAATCGCCAACCGGAGTGTTCGGAGATCCAGGAGCGCTTAGTGCCAGTTCGGGGCTAACGCCCCCCGGTGAGTTACTTAATTAATTGGCGAGGATTGCGGTTAAGCAGTCGCGATATTTGTTTACATGACCCTTGAGCGCGGGAGACGACCAGTCAGACTGAATGCTGCCATACCAACCCCTTACGCGTAGATTACAGAGGGACGTTTCTAATGAAAGGTGAGTTTACAGTAGATTTGTCGCATCTTAATAATGAGTTCTGACCAACAATTGGCTCCAATTTAATTAGTGACTTCCCTTGTTGACATATAACATACCCCCCCTCTTACACTTGAATCATTGAAGTCCTTGATATCTTTGAAACCCTTGAAATTGTTGAAGTGCTTGAAATGCGGAAAATCCTTGAAATCCTTGAAATCCTAGAAATCCCTGAAATCTCTGAAATCCTTGAAACCTTTGAAAACCTTGAAAACATTGTAAAGCCATGAAAAGAATACCTTCAAACCTTTAAAACTTTCAAAATTCTTGAAATCCTTGAGATTCTGGAAATCCTTGAAATCCCTGAAATTCTTGAAATTTCTGAAATCCTTGAAATTCTGGAAGTCCTTGAAATCTTGAAAATCCTTAAAACCTTTGAAATCCTTGAAATTCTGGAAATCCTCGAAATCCTTGAAATTTCTGAAATCCCTGAATTCCTTGATACCCTTGATAGCCTTAAAATCCTTGAAATTTCTGAACTCTTTTAAATCCCTGAAATCCTTGAAATTTTGAAATCCCGCTTGAAGTCCTTTAAACCTTTGACATCCTTGAAATTCTTGGAATGCTTGAAATTCGGAAAATTATTAAAATCCTGGAAATCCTTCAAATCTTGAAACCTTTGAAATCCTTCAAATTCTTGAAACCTTGACTGTTACAGAACTATAATTAATTTTACATTAATAGTTAAATTTTATTTTGCGCGCGCTTTATGACACCTTATCTTCCACAAAAGTGTGCGTTAGAACCGATACGATATACGAGTCAAGCTTTACTTCGCTTTTAATGTTGTCTTTGAGTGTCAATTCTGGGTGCAACATCGCCAATATTACCACCGCCGCGGCGCTATCGCTATCATCCCGCTCACCTCTATACCTACACCAGCGAAACGACATATAATAAGGTAAGGTGTCTCTTATCTGTTTTGAGTGATTTGTAATTACATTTAAGCCAGCCTAAAGGCTTTATTTTGGGCTTGGTTCTATAACATTGACATCCTTGGGAACCTTGAACTCTTGCAAACATTGAAAAGCCATGAAAAGATCTTTAAACCTTGAGAGGTTCCACCCTGTATATACAACTTACGACGATACATACATTTTTGAGAGTTGGCAACCATGCAACTTCTAGGTGGGAAAAAAGCTGCCTGCGCCACCTAAGAAGCACGAACGGGAGTTACATTTGGCATCTTGTCTTGAATGGCGGTCGTGAACGTTTCGAATGTTTGTTGTTATTTTGTGTTATTTAATGCAGGTAGTAATTTTTTGCATTTCTTTATATCGTATTTGTGTTTTCTTTGCCGCATTTTATATTTTTTTTGTGTTTCAATATTTGTTTTTGACTATTACTTGGTTTAACCGCAATGCAATCATATGTGTGATACCGTTATGCTATTGTTTGTAATTGTTTACATTTTTGGTGTAATGTTTGTTTAATTTATGTTCATTGATGTTGATTACTTGGTCTTGTACCTGAAGTTACATTCATATCAGTTTTGATCTTTTTATTTTAATATGTGGAAGTTACTGATTCGTTTAATGTATGTACTGACTTGTTGTTTGTTACTAACAATTTTCTCCGTGAATGAAGCAGTCACGGGAGGTGGAAAAAGAAACTGTAGTCTATAATTATGTGTTAGGGCACCTAATTCCGTGCACTGTCTTCGACATCCAACTGTAGGTTCGAAACCCCGAAACCAGGGGCGGACTACCCATCTTGCAGGAGCGAGGTGACGCTAATCAAAGTTCTTCAGTTTAGAATCTATGTGCGTTAAATGAGTGGCGATTCAATAATTTCCACATATTTTGTTTTTAGTCAAATTTGCGTACAAGGCCATTGTCCCCAAAAACTGCTTTAACCTTGAGTGTAACCAACATTGTGTATATGCATTTACTATCTTTGTTAATACTTTATTAATTAACTTTTGGACTGTTTTAATCAAACTGCAAGGTTTTTCTTACGTCGTACTCTTTTTACCCTTGGCAGTGACTTTTGCGAGAGTACGACACCTTTTGGCTTTGTTTGTTTTGTTTATATTAATGTACATCAACTAAATTTCCGGGTTTTCTCAATCATAATAATTACGATCATTATTAAACAAACTTTTCACAATTTCAGTGTTTTATTTAACGTTCCTTCAATATTGTGCTTCAGGGCAAGGCGTTGTCTACAACTAACGTAAGGGGGCCCTGCCTTAGATGTTTTATCACGTGCCACTTTTCAATTTAAGCGGGATCTTGTTTAGTTTTAGAGGGAATAGTCATTCGGGTGGCCATTTTTAAACGTTGCCTGGTTTACTTTATTTCCGTGTTTTTGTAGTGTGAAGTTAGTGTAGTAGAACCTGGGGGTTAAGTACACTACAACTTTAAAATTTGCAAAATTCTTGAAATTCTTAATATGCTTGAAAACCTTGAAACCTCAGAAGCATTGAAAAGAATACCTTTGAAAACCTTGACAACTTCGACAGCCTAGAAATCTTTTAAATTTTCGAAATTCTTGAAATCCTTGAAATATTCTAAATCATTTGTTTTGAATCCTTTAAATCTTCCAAACGCATGAAATCCTTGTTCTTAAAAATACTTGAAATCATTAAAGCGACGAAATCTTCCAAATCCTTTGAAATTTTAAAAATCCTTGCTGTCCTGAAATTCTCGAAGTCATTGAAATCTTTGGAATCCTTTCAATCTTTCGAATACCTTAAATAATAATAATAATAACTAATTGAAATCAGTGAAATTGCGAAATGCGAGCAATCTTCCAAATCCTTGAAATCTTCGATATCAGTTAAATCCACGAAACCCCGTTTTTTTTAAATCCTGGGTTATAATCAAATTTCTTGAGATGTTTGAAATCATTGAAATAATTGGAATCCTTGAAGTCGTTGAAGTAATTGAAATTAGTGAAACCATTTAAATTTTTTTACTTTATTTTTTATTTTATTTTGCCTTAATTTTTGAGTGGGCGGGGGAGTTCAAATCGTCGAAATTGTACGCTCTCCTACACGCACAATGTTTTTCAGGTGATAGTTAACCAGTCAGTATGTATGTGATCACCTAGTCTTTACTCCTGGTCCTGACAACAAAGGAGCAATTCCTAGCGTAGGTTCGAGTACGACGAAGACCCCACCACTGCTCTTCCGATTTGTACGGGAGATAAGCTGAGCAGGGCACCTGCTCCGTCCTCTGCCATCTCGGCAGCTGAAATCTCTGAAACAGAAATCAGACTTAATTCGTCTATCGACGTAAATGCAAGTCTTAGGGCCAGACCCTCCGATCTGAGACGTTTGGAACGCATGGAATATTAATTGCCGTCATCCACATTTTAGTAATGTCGGACGTCACCGTGTCTAGTACTGAAGCCGAAGTAGTAGCACTCACTGTTATTTGGAGATTGTGACATAAAACGCTATTATTATATAACTTATTCAGAGGATAATCAGACATTAATCGACCGCTTTAGTTAAGGAAACAATGCTAGAGTAAAACTGAACACACGACATAAAATTTCATTTTATTTGTGACAATTTACATATGACATTCATAGAAAGATACCCAGAATCTTAGCAACAACAAGCAGACATATTTATGAAAGCGTTAAGCACAATTATATTTAATGCTTGTAATATTGGTGCTGAAACATTTTTAGTGAAGGAGCGTGTTGGAAACAAATATAAAATTATACATGGTAGGAAAGCACTGAAAATGTTTGAAGACCACTGATATGACGTGAAAATGTAACATTTTTAGATATAGAGTTTAATGCTTTGTCAGAAAGATGACGCTATTTGACTCCAGAAATTAAAGTACTCGCACCTAAACTGGCCTCCTACTTCAATGTTACCTCGGCAGTAATGTGTCATTTTCCTGACTTTTGTAAATACCTATACCATGTCTACACCCTGGAATGGGAAGATTTTGAACTATAAATAGTGCTAGTAATTAACTTGGTGCTTTTCCTGTTGACAATAAATAAATACACTACTAATTTGTGCAAATCCAGTATAGCCAAATCCCACAGCAAAGCTTGGAGAGAGTATTTGCAACACTCTGTACTTAGTTTCTTGCAATTTCACTGAGCACATTTCAAATCCTCCGAGGACTTGTGCATTAACACAGATGTGCTTTAAAAAGGTTCTTATTACCGGTTGCGTAATCACACTGAGCACACTTGAATTTCTTGGAAACCCTGTGCGCCAACAGATGACTTCTCAAAGTGGATTTGTAATTGCTCTCATAGTCGCAATGAGCACATTTAAAGTTTTTGGAAGTCTTGTGTGTCAATAAATGTGATTTTAAATAGCACTGCTTATTGGCAGCGTAATCGCAATGGGGGCACTTGAAATCCTCACAGGCCCTGTGTGTTAAAAGATGCGACTTAAACGAGTATTTGTTATTGGTCGCGTGGCCACACTCTCCACACTTAAAATCCTTTCCGGCTTTGTGTTTTAACAAATGCTGTTTCAACCATAATTTATCGCTTGTGGTGTATTCACAGTGAGCACATTTTAAATTTTTCGAAGTCGCGGTGTGTGTTAACAGATGTCTTTTAAAAGTGAGTTTATAGTTGGTTGCGTAATAACACTGAACACAATTAAAATCCTTGGAAGTTTTGTGTGTTAGCAGATGCGTTTTTAAATTCTGCTTAATATTGGTTGCGTAATCACACTGAGCACATTTGAAAATCTTGGACGTGTTGTGAATGAGCAAATGTGATTTAAGATTACATCTGTAATTGCTTACAAAATCACACTTGGCACATTTAAAAACCTTGGAAACGGTCTTGTGTGTTAACAGATGCCACTTAAATCTGGATTTATAATTGGTTTCGTAATAACACTGAACACACTTTAAATTCTTGGATATTTTATGTGTTAGCAGATGCGACTGAAAACTGAATTTATAATTGGTTGCGAAATCACACTGAGCACATCTGAAAATCTTCGAAGTCTCATGCCGTAATAGATGCGGTTTAAAATGGTGTTTATTATTTGTTGCGTAATCACACTGGGAACATTTGTATTTCTTGGAAGTGTCGTGTCGTAACAGATGCGCTTTAAAATGGTATTTATTATTTGTCGCGTAATTACACTGAGCACATTGAAAATCCTTCGAAATTTTGTGTGAAAGCAGATGCGTCTTTAAACTGTACTTGGTGGTAGATGCATAATCACACTGATCGCATTTAAAATCTTTCGTTCCTTCGTGGATTAACAGATGTGACGAAATTTTTGACTTAAAATCGGTTTGATAATCACACTGAGCACAATTAAATTTCTTGGGATTGATGTGCTTTAACAGATGTGTTTTAAAAAGTGATTTATTATTTGTTGCAAAATCGCACTGTGCACATTTCAAATCTTGGCCAATTTTATGTATTCGGAGATGCGCTTTCAAAATGTTTTTGTTATTGGTTGTGTAACCACAGTGGGCACAATTAAGACCTTTTGAAATTGGGGGTTCGGCAACATATGGAAACTGTTCATCCACATTTTCCTGCTTGACACTGTTTTCATTTTTCCAAATCTGTGTAACATGTGCGACCTCATCAATTTCTTCTTTTATCGTTCCGGAGACAGTTTCATTAAGTAAAAGTTTCTCATCAATTAATGTATTGATTTTTACTTCTTGCTTCACTTCATTATCGACTTCAAGTTTCACAACAGTCGACATAACAGTCACCCGTTTAGAGCAATGGTCCTTCGGTAATTGTAACCACAAATAGTTACATGGGCGTATTTACCTCAAACACTAATCAAATCAGAGTTGCAAACAGTTAAAAATTGTCTCCCCACATTGTACATTATAATTTTTCCTCAATTATTGGGGTTTCCAGAAACTAGAAAAATCTTTGACAGCGAAATGAGGTTAGGTAATAAGCACCAACTTCATGGCTGTGTCTACCAACTATATTATTCCTAATATTTTTCAAATTTACTATGTACAGGGTGTCTCCTACTTGAAGGATGTCTTTGAATTCTCGAAATTTCCTCATTTTCAACAAACTATTATAAGTCTCTAGAAGACCACTGCCGCTAGTGAGGTATTTATAGCAAGCGACGCGACAGTAATATTCACTCCTGTTTTCCGCACAAGGTACAAGAACAAAGGCTTGTTTGTCAAAATGGTCCTCGACGAGGAAGAATTAATTTAATTTCAGCCATCTTGCTCAAAAGACACCTTATGACTATTGAACCAAAAATATTGCAGTGTCGCGCCACTGCAGTTAAAATACCTACAATCCACCTAATAAATTGTACCTACGCCGCTGATCAATAGATATACGCCGATATTGCGCTACAACCACCGACATTGGCCGGTATGAATAAAAGTAAGCAAATGCTCATACTTATAAAATTCAAAGTAAATACTCGTAAGTGCTCCTTCGCACTGGGCAACTTAGCAGCACTTCTAAGCAGAAGGACAGGACGCAGTGTAGCGCTGCTAAACCATGCTAAACAGGCCAGTATGAAGGCGCAGTTACGAGTATTTACTTTGAATTTTGCAAGTATAAGCATTTGCTTACTTTTATTCATACGGGCCATTGAACTCGTATCACGTGCTAACCTTAAACACCAATAGAGGGAGTTATTGAACACGTTTCGAGCGTTTTTCTTTATAATGAGAACTGTGCAGCTTCATATGGTTGTGTTCTCTGAAACTGGAAAATGCAAGGTTAGTAAAATGACGGAAAAACCGGGCATTTTCGAGCCAAAACAGGAAAATTTGCCAATTTGTTTGAGATGCCCCAACCTTAACAACGTCCTGTGAATATGATTGTCGATACGAAGCACCCTATACATCATGTAGGTTACACAAGCTGCCAACAGAAATCTGGTGGGATTACAGAAAAGGGAAAGAGAGCGAAGATGGGACGGATGGAATTTCTTGGAAGACGACATGTGTTTACAATTTCAAACACCTGCAGTCCACTTTTTTCTTAGAAATGCGTGAAGTGCAGGGAATGGGCGATTTTGGGGTGGTTTTTAGGGGTATTAGCAGATCAAATTACCGCGTGGCTTGGGTTGGTCAAATAAATAGGATTTAACATGTGTGTTCATGGTCTTTTGTCTTGTAACCGGCTGAAGTGTGAAGTACGGCTTGTCTTGAAATATTTTGTGATACCTTAATCATTACTGTGTGCTTTTGCTTTGTTATATCAGTGCCTGCTGAGAACCCAGTTATTACACAACGTAGGTGTCCTACATGATCTTAGTGCACTCGGAGTGGCCCCCGAGTGACAGATTCTCGCGGGAAATGTAAGCGAGAATATTCAAATAGGCAGCCATGTTAGTTTGGCATTCCCGCTACTACCGAATGTGGTTCAATATTCCAGTGTGACTTGAAGTTGGCGTTAGCCACCAAGATAGTAGGAGGCTAAGATCATCACATGTTTAACTTATGCCACACGAACAGACAAATTCTCTCTTGGAATATCCACCCCGTCAATAGTCGTCCCCTAGAAATATCCCTACCCTAAGAAATGGCCTCTAAGGAAAATTTCACTTGAAAATTCACCCAAAAATTGTGGCCCTGATGTATTTCCTACAAATACGGCCTCTCTCCCTCTGAGAATATTCACCCCGCAGTTTCGCCCCTAAAATTATTTGCTTTCCCCCTTGGAATATTCCGACCGGAAAAAATGGCGCCCGCGAAAGATTCTCAACAAAAACGCTCCCTCCTTCCCCGTGAATATTCCCAACGAAAGAAAACGTCCTCTAGCGTTAAGTTTAAATTCCACAATATTCTCCACAAAAATGGCGCCCCTCTCTCTCCGAACACTTTCGGCACGCAAATTTGCCCAAGGTCTATAAGACAATTTTTCCCTAAGCAAAAACTCATGTTTTCAAAAAATTGTTGCTCTGGGAATATAGTATAACAATGCCTCCCCCCCCCCCCCCCCATACACAATTCGAGAATATTCACTACCAAATTACCTATCTCGAAACATTCGCTGTCGGAATATCCAGCCCAGGTATAATTGCTCCCAATCCCATTGGAATATTCTCACCCAAGGAAATTATGATCGTGGAATATTTGCCTTGAAAAAATTCCCCTCTCTTGATAACATTTGCCCCACACCCTCGCCTCCAGAATATTACTCACCTGAAGCAAACACCTTCACTTTTACGTTCACAAAAATTGTCACCTTCCACGAAAAATTTGCTCTCGGAATATCCACTCCAAATATAATCGCTCGCTGAATTGTCCTCCCTTGAGAACATTCCATCCCTGGTATAATCGCTTCCATAAAAATTCTCCCTCAAGAACATTTGTCACGAACGCTTGCCTTCAGAATATTCTCGCCCAAAGAACACATTTCGAGGAAAAATTTCACATGTTTTAAAGTTTACAAAAATTGTCATCCTCGTAATGTTCCTCTTAAAAAACACCCCTAAAGGATGAATATTCACCCTTTAACTTCGCCCCTCAGAATATTCGCTGCCAAGAAAATGTTTCCAAGGAAATTGTGCCACCATAAGGAGTGATTGCAAAAATTGTCACTCCCGGATTATGTCTCGAAAAATTCGCCCTCGGAATATTCAGCCCAAGTATAGTTACTTATCGCTCCCAAAAAATCCTTCTCGTCGGAATATTCTCATCCGAAGGAAACGCCTCCAAGGAAATTGTGGCCGTGGAATGTTTCCTACAATTCTGCCCTGAAAAAATTTTCCACGAGCACTCCCCTTCAGAATATTCTCACCGCTCTCGGAATATCCACTTCAGATGTAACAGGTCCCTGAAAATTTTAGCCTAGAAAATATTCTCTTCCCCTGAGAATACGTACCACAAACACTGGCCCTAAGAAATCGCCTCGCAAGGAAAATTTCACTTTTAAATTCACTCAAAATTCTGTAATATTACCCACAAATATGGCCCTCCTCTCTCTCTCTCTTTGAGAATATCCACCCCGTAATTTCGCCGTTCAAAATATTTGCTTCCAAACAAAATTTTACGTTTCGCGTTCCTAACAACAGGGCTGGAGTTACCACTAGGCCCGGGCCTAGGGCGCATCGTCACAAGGGGCGCACGTCGCCAACCAAATTATGATAATTTCAACTTAATAAACAAAAGCTGCAATTAATTATACAGGGTCTTGCAACAGCGCAGTCCTAAAAGAATCGGTCCACTCAGTGAACCCCTAAGAAAGAAATTAAGCCAAGAGTGAGTCGCCATCATCCCCATCAAACCACCGCAGACGAAGATTTCCGCAGCATTTCCATAAGAAAACAAGACAGTTGAAAATTACCAGTGCGAAAAACATACTAGGATTCTGTATGCGGTCCGTGCGTAGAGTTGGAGTCTTGGCATCAACTTCTTAAAACTTTTGTTTGTGACAATTTAAATACGACATTTATACAAATAAGACACAGACCAATAACAAACTACATTTACAAAACCGTTAAGCACAATTGTATTTAATCACTTTAAATGTAAAATTGGGGTTGAAACATTTTTAGTGGAGTTTAGTTTGAAGACCACTGCTTCTGCAATGTGTGCTTTTCCTGTTTAATGAACAATAAATAAATACAAATAGTAGACTAATTTGTGCAAATCCAGTGTAGCCAAATCGCACAGCATAGCTTTTATAGTATTTGCACACACCAAGTTTTAATTCTCCCGTAATTTCACTGAGCACATTTTAAACCCTTGTAGTGCTTGTGTTTAATTCTTGAAATTTCTGTGTACTAACAGATGACCTCTCAAAGCAGATTTGTAATTGGTCGCGTATTCACACTGAGCACATTTCAAATTTTTGGCAGTCTTGTGTTTTAATAAATGCGAATTTAAATTGGACTGTTTATTAGTTGCGTAATTACACTGAGCGCACTTGAAATTCTTGAAAATCCTGTGTCCGAGCAGATGATTTGTCAAAGTGGATTTGTAATTGGACGCGTAATCGCACTGAGCACATTTAAAATTTTTGGAAGCCTGGTGTTTTAATAAGTGGGATTTTAAATTGGATTGTTTATTGGTTGCGTAATCGCAATGGGGGCACTTGAAATCCTCCCTGACCCTGTGCGTGCAAAGATGTGACCTAAAAAAGTATTTGTTATTGGTCGCATAATCGCACTCGGCACATTTGAAATCCTTAACATTCTTGTGAATCAACATGTGCGTTTTAAAATGATATTTGTTATTCGTTGCGTAATCACACCGGGCACATTTTAAATCCTTGGAGAGTTTGTGTGTTAGCAGATGTGCTTTAAAATAGTTCTTAGTATTGGTTGCGTAATCACACTGGGCACACATCAACCTCTTGGAAAGCCTGTGCGCTTGTAGATGATTTTTCAAAGTCGATTTGTAATTGGTCGCGTAGTCACACTGAGCACATTTAAGATTTTTGGAAGTCTTGTGTTTTAATAAGTGTGATTTTAAATTGCATTGATTATTAGTGGCGTAATCGCAATGGGTGCATTTGAAATCCTTACTAGACCTGTGTGTCAAAACGTGCGACTTAAAAGAGTATTTGTTATTAGTTGCGTGGCCACACTCTCCACACTTAAAATCCTTAGAAGTTTTGTGTTGTAACAAATGTGCCTTCAACCCTAATTTATCATTTGTAGTGTATTCACAGTGAGCACATTTTAAACTTTTGGAAGTCACTGTATGTGTTAACAGGTGTCTTTTAAAAAGGACTTTATAATTGGTTGCGTAATAGCACTGAACACATTTAAAGTCCTTGGAAGTTTTGTGAGATAGCAGATGCGTTTTTAAATTATACTTAATATTAGTTGCGTAATCACATTGAATACATTTAAAATCCTTTGATGCGTTGTGAGTTAGCAAATGTAATTTAAGGCTACATTTGTAATTGCTTACAAAATCACACTGTGCACATCTAAACACCTTGGAAGACGTCTTGTGTGTT